GCCTGTCGCTGAACCCGCGGCTGAATTTAACACTGTGAGGGCGGCTCGTGCTGGCTGCTCTTAAGCAAAGTTAAAAAGGGAGGGTTTTAGCTGGCTGCCCCAATGCCAGCACAAGCTGAGAGGTCTGAGAAGGGTTGGATTGAAAAGACCTGCTGGTTCTTCTGAAGGATTTGAGGGGTTGCTCGCACCCACTTGACTTTTCCAACATATAGCTTATGCTAACAAAAACAAAACCAAAAAAACCCTACTCCTGGTTCTAGGAAGAAAAAAAAAAAAGCCATCAGGGGAGCAGTTAGAGGGCCCCTATGGGCTAAATGTGCCCATATGACTAGTCTTCAGGCTTGGGTTCCTGCTCCTTACATAAAGGGAATAGCAATCGCTCCCATCCTGCYCCACAAGCACAGCTAGTCATCCCTCTGGAAAAGCCCTCCTCTGTTTTGTTGCCTTTTCCAACAGGCCTGAATTTCAGCTGCCCTCTCTAAACCCTGCCTGCCACTCGCAGCTCACAGCCACAGCTCTGTGTGTATGTCCTGCAGTGACCGCTGCTCTCTGAAGCCAGCACAGTGCTCTTAAACTGCTCGCATCTTTACAAACTGTGGCATTGGCTCTGTTGTAATCTCTTCACGTGCTCAGTCCATCCCCAGAACACTGCAGGATTATAATAAAGGAATCCCAGAAATGCAGGGCCCTGTCCCCTTCTGCAACTGCCACTGCATATTTTGCTCTAATGTAATAAATGATTTGATTTAAAGCTCACCGGGCACAGCAATTGCTCTCATTCACTAGAATCAACTTCAGACAAGTCCTTTGCCCACAACTCATAAAAGTTGGATTCATCATTTTTCTTTAGACAACTAAAGAAAAAAAACTAGTAATTGGACATCTAAGTGTCAGTCAAGCTCCATGGACTCCCTTATGGCCACTCAGCAGAGAACGGTATCCGAAAAAGCCAGTTCCTCTTGTTTTAGAACAAGTGTCTACCATAAATCCCACAAATGGCTCTCTGGAGATCCTTTTTTTTTCCCTGCCTCTTGTCTATGAAGGGAGGCTGGAGCTTAGGTGGGATTTAGATGCCTAAATCATAGTAAACTGATTTCATCCTTACAGACTATATTTCTTACTAGAAAACCTGAAGACCGCACTTACCAGAAATTATAGTGTTGGATTTTTTTTGGTAATCTAAGAGGAAGACATATAAAAAAGAAAAACTACTCCACTTAGAYTGAGGATAGAAGCAATCCTGCTGTTTCTGCTAGTTCTCCATAGCTTATAGTCCCTATACAAAAGCTCCAGATACAGTCATGGGAAAGTCAGTAAGGTGGTTTGTTGAATAGTCTCTTGCTGAGCTGACAGTGTAGTTCACTAATAGTGAATTAAACTCTAATGAGGTTTTCCTCCACTATGGCAGATGGATTTCCTGTTGCCTCTATTCTGTGTAATTTAAAGGATAATGCACACACACAATTTACTGAAAATTACAAATAAAACGTACAGGATTTCTCAGTTCCTTATATTTAATTAAACCTCTAAAATGTAACAAGCATTTTTGTTGTTGTTGTTTCATTCAGTGTTTAATCACTAATGTCGTACAACACCAGAAAGGAGCTATGTTGGAGCCGTACTGCCAAGAAGTGTGTTGGTCCAGAGCTCGTGCACTGCCGGCGCTCTGGGATCCCGATCTGTTAAGTGCTGTGATGTAAGTGAGGAATTATAATCAATGTATCACCTTTTATGGGGGTCTTCATCACATTAAGGCAATATAAATGCAAAGGTGACTGAGCTGAACTTTGACAACTTCCTTTTATGAAAATAAATAATATATAGAAATAAATAATAAATAGTTGCTTTTACATTCAGTCTTCTGTTTGTCAATGAAACAAGGATACTGGCTCAGACCCAGCTTACCATTTTAAATGGTGCTGTTCCTGACTGCTGCCAAAGGTCTCAGTCACTCAGGAGAATATCCCCACCGGAAAAGAGCGGGTGGCTGCAAGAATAGTCTGGAASAGCTGATTTTCATGATCCCATGCACCAGAACTATTGAGAGTTAACCACAATATAACCAGGGAAAATTCACATGGACCAACGAGAAGCGACTGTGTTAAATTAGGCTGCTGCATTAGGTCATGAACGTATGTAATGGAAGTTAACCTATGTAAAAACAGAAACCATTAAAGCATGACCTAAGTTTCCTACTTGGCGATCAGGGCTRTATATTCTTATGCAAAGATTCGCGTTTCGTGAACACTGCTGCTCTCTCCCACGTTGCCCGCCATGTGCTCCAGGTGTCGGCCGCGCGGGTCTGACCACCGGGCACCAACACGAGCAGCTTTTGGCCGCGGCTTCGCGGAGACGACGCGCGAGAAGCCTCACGCGCCCACAGCACCGAGGCTGCRGCCCACGCGCCGCGGCCGCCGGCCCTCTTGGAGCAGGGGCCTTTCTGTTTTGTTTAGAAACACACACGTGTCCTCTAAGGCCACCACGTAGCTGGGACCCATGGGGTCTGTGCAGGCAACCAGAACTTGATGGTGGTGGGTCATGCTCCATCCCCACCACGGAGCCTGGACCCGCTCAGGGCTGCACGACTGAGGCCTGCGCACGTGAGGCCTCCACTCCACACAGCTCGAGTCCTGTTCAGAAACACAAGGTTCAGAAATACAAGGGGTTTTTTCCTACACTGTAAGCAAAATTCATGATGCGGATAAGAAAGTGCACTTCTGTAGCTTTTTTTTTTTAAATCTGGACATAGAAATAAACATCTTCTTTTAATAACCCACATCGCATAAGCAAAATGAAGCGAAGGTCACTAAATGTTAAGTGTTCCCTAATTCTCCACCTTCTGATGATCTGAAAGTCTGATGAAACGCTCCAGGTCAAGACATTTGGCAGAATGATGATGTTTTCAACATCATCAGTTTTCAACATTTTCTGGAGAGACTGATAATTGGACASGAACTTCTTAAAACCCTCACATAGGTATTTCTAAATAAGAACGTTGTGTTTTCATTTCAGGACTAGTGAAATGTCAACAAAAAGTACTGATAAAAAAAAAGAAAAAGCAAGTTAAAGAGCTGTTTTTTGGCTGTTTTCAGGAGGTAAAGGATTTATTCATTTAAAAATCCAGGGCACTGGTGAGTAAGCTTTTCACTTTAAGCAGCCTGCCTCCCTTTTCAGCTGCACTCACATGATAAATGAATTTTTCTAGCAATGCACGACCAGTCCAGCACATTTTTTGTAACAATTTCACCCCCTTCCCTGGCACACTGTCACCCCCTGACAGCAGCCTAAGGAATCAATCCTAAAAACGCCCAGAGAGACTCACATGCAAACTCACACGGATGATTCTGGAAGCGTGAGCGATYGCACTTATTTGGGGCATTCTTGTGCTGCTGTATTTTCCGTCAGCTAGTCCAGGGAGGTTTCATTAACATCTCACCAGCACCTCTGACGACACAGGAACTTTGACTAGACGGCGAAAACTTCTAGAAATACTCTGTTTTGAACTGATAAGTATATACATGTGAAAAAAAAAAAAAAAGTGGAAACAGCTCTATCATGTGTACTGTCTGGACATRGGATCCCACTCCTTGATAGAAAAAAATCTGCCAAGAATATGAAGAGCTTGGGAGAATATGGACCTGGTAAAACTAGATGCATTGGATCACACTGTCAGGGGGTATCAATTGCTGCAGCTTTCGGACTTTGCCAGCCTAACGTTACCTAGCACAGCTAACGGGATTTACAGAGCTTCGACTATGTCTTAGAAGAAGAGATATGTAGGAAAGGATGAGCTGAAAGCAGACACATACGAACCATCCATGCAGCCTTTGATACAAGGGCTAAGAGAGGCCCATAAGTTTTCAGGAGGCCCCTCATGCAACAAAGCTCCCGCTCATTGCAAGATTGTGCCATGGACTTCTGCTAGTCTGAGCTAGTCTGAGCTTAAGATAAATTAACTTCTGAACAGGGGAAGCAGCAGAGTCGAAACCACCATGGCCCAAAGCGGAGGACTACGCTGGAGAGAAAAGAAAGCAAAGGATRGGAGTCAGTGTAAATTACTGTATTTTCTCACATCAGACGCTCCTCATCTGTTACTGATCTCGGGCTGCCGGACGGGTGGAATCACAGATTATTTTCTCTTCTAAAGAGTGGCTCTAGTTAGTGGGCAAGAAATGTATTTTAGACAGTCACATAGTTTCTATAATACAACTTTCTGCCTCAGAAATGATGTCAACACGTGCTATCAATTGGGTCATATTGCAGGTTGTAGTTCCAAATTGTTCTCAGACTCGTCCTATAGTTTTAGCAGATCTGTGTACCACTTTGTTGGATGGATAGGAAGGAAAACCTATCTGTAATAATTTCTTCCTTCAGTCAAGATAAGCTAGGAAGCATCACCACTTGGCAACAATCAGGGGACTCCCCTATAGACGGGCTCCAAAAACATGCATCAGTACAAAGTGAGTAACATGGTGTTTTCTGATTGCTTTCTATTTGCAATYGGTCTGCTGCAAGTGCATCCAATTCACATGTTTCTGAACCCCTTGGATCCAAACGAAGGCAAGTTTTGGGGCCAGGCTATGTAGGGCAGATCCCATGTTCAGATCTTCTGCTCTGTTTTACTCCGAATGGCTCTGTGCCTGCCAGCATACGGAAAAATGTCATAGCCAAAAGCAGTATGTGGGATAGAAATATCATTCTAGTTTCCTTTTAGACACATATTCCTGCATGCGCTGCCCTGTCTCAAGGGAAAGATACATCCGATGGTGAAATTCATCCCTCAGTTCCTTCCCAGAGCAAAGGCCGATCCATAGTGGCAGGTTTTGCGGCTTCCTTCCGGCTASAGTGATATGGCCTGAAAAACTGTGGAAAAATCCTGCTGTGCCTCAGGCATCCTTCTGGATCAAATTTATTCCCAGAGGGATAATTTATTAAAGAAGTGAACTTTGAAGAAAAAGCTAAAAATAGTGTTAACAAAGGAACGAAATACAGGACAATGGCACTAAGTAGTCAGAAGTCTAGCCCAAACTTACACATTATTAAAAAAAAAAAAAAAAAAAGGAAAAGCTTTGCCTATTTTATAATATTTCTGCATGCTGCTTCCCTTCCCCCGTTCGCTTACAGAGACAGTGAGATAATAACAAACCTCAGCAGCATGAGCAGAGCCAGCTGTTAATTCTGGTGTGTGGCAGCAGAGGGCATCTAAGGACTTCAAGTCACATATGGTGCGGGATGAGAATCAGATGGCTGYGCAGCTCTGACTCGGGGTCCGAGCGCCCACGCTGGCCCGCAGCAGAAGTTGCCACCTCAGGGCTGGAGGGCTCGGGAAGTGGCTCCGGAGCAGGCGCTGCCCGGAGCGCGGCGCCGAGCGGAGCTCGCTCCCAGTGCCCCACTGGAAGCGCAAGCCCGGGAGCCGCCGCCTCCGGAGCTAACTGGGCCGGGAGCCGCGTGTCGTGGCCGGGGGGCTCCGCTCAGGCGCCGGGGCCCACGGCGGGCGCCTCCCATCCCGGGGACATGGGGGTCAGTGCCGGTGGCACGGGCAGCATGGGGACCGGCTGCCCCACGCACTGCCCCTGAGCGCGGAGCCTCGCGTGAGGCACMGGCGGCAGCGGCTCCGGGGAGGCCGCGGCAGCCGCCCCCAGCACCCGCTCCCCGCGGGCACCGGAGCGACGCTCCGCTCTGCCCCGCTCTGCTCCGCTCCGCGCCGCCTCTTCCTGCCCTTCCTCGGCGGGAATGCGGCCGCCCGCGCCCGGGCAAGGCCACAAGGAGCCCACRAGGGACGAGGCAAGGCCAGGGCTGGGCACTAGCCCTGAAAGCCGTGGTCAGTGCAGGCATCCCGTGCACGTACAGCGGGCTGCATACGAGGAGGCAACTGCAACAAGTTTACAGCATATAAACCCACTGGCACCCACTAGCCGGGATCAGCCTCCTCAGTGCACCTTGGTGTCAGGCCTTGTGCTGCTGTCTCCTCAGCCCCCGTCTGAGCCCGCAATGTAAAACTGACCCGTGACCAGGAAAGGGTCCTACAACTCAGTTAATAACTCAGGGTACTCCTGAAATAATATTCACCCTCYGGCTTTCCATGGCAGCACTTCCAATCATAAACACTTAACTGCAGGAATTCAAAGCCAAATAGTTCTGTGTGAATTAAATCGTCCTTAATACAAGGACGAAGAGCAGTGATTTAGCATCCCAGTTATTCTGATGGAGCTTCCTTCAGGATCAGCCACAGCTTGTTCTCTGCTCCCACCCCCATCTCGCTTTGCCCTCGGAACTCTCTCCTTCGGAGACAGGGACCGTTTCACCTGCTCTCATTTTCCCTGCTAGTTTCGGCACTGACTCGTCATAAAGAAATAAATAACCAGGAGCTCCGCGGGGGCTGCGGGAGCGCAGGAAAGCCGTCCCTCGAGGAAAACCTCCTTGYACGGACGCGACTTCCTCGCTGCGCGTGGAGCAGCAAGGCGAGCAACCAGCCATGGAGYGTCTCGAGACTCCTCGAGGATAAAAAGTTTGTTTGTTCTGGCAACACCTAGGACGAGAATGCAAAATTTCACAGTGCTGCTTCAGCTACGCTATCTCAAGTTCTGGTTTTGTTTTTCCTAAAAACTAATGCAAAAAAAAAGTATATTTCTCCCCAAATCCACAGCTTGGAACTATGTGTGTGCATGCGTGTAGGCGCATGTGCATGCACGCATGGCATGAATGTATGTATGTACAACATACACGTACGTCTGTATACATCTATACACCCTTCCTCAGGAACATGCATGCTTCTTCAGTGCCTCAAAACAAGAGAAATTAAAACATTACAGTCACAGCCTCTTATACTATTACCATGCGAGCATTAAAATTCACAATAAATATTCTCCCAGTAGCTGCTTAAAATGACCGTTTTCATAATGGTTCTTGCCAGCAGTMTTTTTTGTTAACTATTGTATTTGTAAAAAAAGGAAGCATAATAGGACAGGCAATGCTGTCAAAGCAAGCGTATTTACAAAATATCCTCAGGTAGCTTTCAGCAATATTTAGATAATTTTATTTAGAGTGAAATTGAATATTACTTCCCCAAAACAACAAAGTGGCAGAATAGAGCAGCTCACTGCTTATAAAGAAACTGGAYATATTAAAGGTGAAAAGTGCTATGCAAATTCTTTTTTATACTTAGTTCCTTGTGTCACCACATTTCACTTTCCCTTAGCAAGTATGGCCAGATTATTTTCATGGTACTTTGTTTTTACTTTAGATTGCAAATAACAATTACAGAAACTACGGAACATGCAACAAGAGAAAGCACAAAGCATCTAACATGTTTTTAATTAAAGCTCCTAGGCGTGTCTAGAAAACCCTTTGCCCAGTGCTATTGAGGCCTTTAGATGCTACGGTAAGTTTTAAATAGTATGAACCACATGATGAGCTGACAGAAGGATCTAAATGCCATCATTTCACAATCACGGTTTCCTGCTTGCTGGTGATTATCTGCCTACCTATTCACTGAACTAAAGGAAATGAGCCTTCTTTTTCTTTATAGTTTCTGAAAGAAAATAATCTGRGTATTATTTCAACATGCTGCTCTTTCAGTGCTATCTCCTGATGGCTTGCTTTTAAGTTACAAGTGCTGATTTTCTTTTAGAAAACTACTGATTGCTAGAAATTATTTACTGAATTTCTGATTATTCTCCTCCAACAGCCATATAGCCTTAAGAAAAAGAAAGCATTCAAATCTGAACAGATAAAAATGGCAAGATATAAGGTGGCAGCTGGCTAAGAGCAAAACTGTTTGGTATACATCCTAATTTATTTCATCAAAACATTCTGTTCCTTCGGCAGCTGGAAAGAGCAGAATGATCCCATTTACAAAAATACTTGTTTTCTCTCTGCTGTATTTATTATGTTTTAGGAACTCTTTGTGAAATAAGCCAACCTTCCTCCTGATTACAGAGTGAGAAAGTCTCTGAGGACTTGTGCTGCAGATCCGGTTCTTGGGGTGCATCTACAATTAATTTGTTCTCATTTGCATGAGATAAAGGCATTTTATTCCTGCTTCTCTGAAATATTCCTATTCCTCAGCCCAAGGAATCTTATCTGCTTATCGCTGCAATCACAGRGTAGAGAGGAGCTGTGGAAGTTACTTATTATTTATTTCAGTTCAGATAAATAGTTGTCAAAGCATGGTCAGTAAACACATATATTTGGCAAGCACTATTTTTAGTTAAAGCAGATTTTATCTGACCAAATGGTACTTCAGCATCTGGAGACCTGGATATTCGGTGCTGCATGGTGAGGCAGTAAAGACGGGGGGAGCAAGGAAAGGGCCCTTCTGTCCTTTCAGGTAGCTGGATTAAGCCTTCCTAGCAAATCAAAGCAAAATCAGCTGAGCCAAAAATGCATCACTCCCCTCTCAGCCCCCCCGTACTCATGACATGTTATGAAATAGATGAGCACGCTGGCTTTCCAGTAAAGTCAGTATACTTTTCAGGAACAAAATCAAATTAAAAAAAAAAAAAAAAAAAAAAAGAAAGAAAAAATAATGAAAGGCTATTTTACTATTATAAAATGCCCTTGCTTCTTTTCTTGGTCATTTAAGGGATTTTTGCCTACAGGAAAAAAAATAAAAGAATAAGAAATCCACAGGTCCCTCTCCTCCCTCTACATTTGAAAGCAAGTCAGAAATTCTACTATATTCTGATTGTGATCTTCAGGAACTCTTAATGCCTCAATATTAATCTAATTCTTGATTWAAAAATGCCTACTAAATGGATGAGATACTGCTCAAATCAAAACATTCATGCGCAATCGAAAGTATCTGGAAAAAGAATCACAGATTTCTGCATTTTGTGCTTTTCATCTGCAGCCTGACGATACGTCTCTAAAACTGCCTCAGCAGAATTTGTAATTGTATCCATGCAGGTAATATTTGCCCTAGAAGCTCTATCCTGAAATAAACAGAATAAAAATAAACAAAGCAGGCTTTTTTTGTTGTTGTTCTTCAAATTGCCATTTTGAATTATTAAAAAAAAAAAAAAAAAATCCAGTTTATATAAACTGATTTTCTCTTCCTAGCTGTGACCCTGCTTATAAGAATTACTGTTTGGTAACTAACTGGCAAATATAAAACCCTATTCTGTTTACATGACTGAAAGCTGAGTTTTTGGAGCCTGGCATCTCCGAGCTGCTGCTTTTCCCTCCGTTCCCCACTCCACATCTTTCTCCTCCTCCTTTTTTTTCCACTTTTTAGGCAGTAAAACATACAGAGCAGAGCAAGTATGTGTTAAACAGCCCAATGCCAACGAAGCTCAGAAGTAGCTTAAAGTAGCTTAATAAACCACATGTGGCTCATAATCCCCAAATTAATTTAATTTAATCACCTTTTCTTCCACTTAAAAATATTTCTCTCTCCCCTGTGACTGAGGGGGACAGTCACAGAGACAGGGGAGAAAAGGAGCTCCCTAACATTGCTGAAAGGCACCTTGAAACTTTTAACTTGTCCCCCTGAGCCTATAGCGCCTATGGAAGCCTCAGATCAGCAGATAAACCCAGCCATGAACTGGAGGGCTGTTATGAGCTGCCCAAAAGCCTGATTTAAAAATCAGTTTGCAGTTTTTAAATTTGAATTTCTCTACTCTTGTAAATGTATCAGATCTCTAGTATTATTTAAAAAAATATATCAACTTCCCATGGSAAATTTAACAAAACTCTATTTAGAAAAGATCCTGCTGATATACTGCCTATTTAATTTTTTATTCTACCTTTTCTATAACAATATCTGACGTTTTAAGTAACAAATATTTATTACAGCCTTCTGCTCTTTTTTCTCGTTCACCACATAAATCATGGTCTTCCTCTCCGTGCCTTTACAGCAGCCAGCTGTGGTTTTAGAAACAAATTATTATGACTTGAAGTGACGAATAAACAGCAGAAGCAAAGGAAATCTTGAGATACCATCCACATAAAAATACCATCAGTAGATAAAAGAGGAAATCTTCAGAACTACGGCAAAGCTGTAACTATAAGCAGCTTTGAGTCTAGGCAACATGGATTACATTTCTCTAAGATGATTTGGGGAAGTTTAAAGGAATACTCCTAAATATGAATGCTATTATATCCTGATAACATATTTCTGATCAAGAGCTTTGTGCCTGCAAATAATTACAGGCAATTATTTTTAGTTCTAAAAACAGATTTTTTAGATACTCTTCTGACTATTCGGAAGCTGGCGCAACTCTGCAAAAGTGGATCAGATTTTATGCAAGACCTCACATCATCAATAGCAGAACCGTTAATTCTGCCTCCTTTTCAGAGCCAGGCAAGGCAAAATCAGTGGGCTCCCCTCAGGAGGAAGCAGGGGCTGCATCTGAGGCTGAAGGGCACAGAGGAAAAGAATGTTTTCCAAGGCTGGTTTAGACCATCTCCTGCAGTACACATACAAGAAAGGGCTGGCTTGTCTTTTCAGACCCCATTTTGAATCTGCCGTGTAGCCAGTGGCCGAAACCACCCCTTTTTATGAACTGAAAAAAACTAAAGCTGAAAGTACCGAGTCCTTGCAAACAGAGGAAACCCAGCCACTTAAAGTAGGGATTTTTTTTTTCAAATGAGACTCTGTAATAATTACATAAAGCAATTAGTTTTAAGAAAAAAAAAAAAAGGAAAAAAAAAAAGGAAAAACTATTAACTCTGTTAACTCTATTAACTATTAACTCTAATGCTGTCTGTGCATCCATATCCTCAGGAATGATGTTTGGAAATTACAAATAATAGGTAGA